AATTTCGAGAAAAAAAAAAAAAGCGTTTCGAATCTTTGAGACCCTGAAACAAAAAAAAAAACAAAAAAAGGAAAAAGAAAAAAAAAAAAAAGTTTCGGGATCCTAAGAGACTTTTCGGAAAAAAACGCGATTCTAAATCCCAGAAACGTAATAAAAGAAAGAAGAAAAAAAAAGTTTCGGGATCCCTGAGACTTTTTAAAAAAGGTTTCAGAGTCCTTCAGACTTTCGGGGGGGAAACGTGCTCCGGAATCCCTAAGACAAAAAAAAAAAAAACAAAAAAAAAAAAAAAAAAGAGAAAAACGCTACGGAATCCTTGAAACTTTAAAAACGTTTCGGAATCCCTGAGAAAAAAAAAAAAAAAGAAAAAAAAAAAACATTTCAGAATCCCTGAGACTTTCGAAAAAAAAAGTTTCAGAATCCCTGAGACAAAAAAAAAAAAAAAAAAAAAATCAGAACCCCTGAGATTTTCGAGAAAAAAAAAAAAACAACACGTTTCAGTAAGACAAAAAAAAACACGTTCAGAATCCCTAAGACAAAAAAAAAACACTGTTTTCAGATATCCCTAAGACAAAAAAAAAAAAACACGTTTCAGAAATCCCTGAGACAAAAAAAAAAAAAAAAAATCAGAAACCCGCTGAGATTTTCGAAAAAAAAAAAAACACCCTGTTTCCAGAATCCCTAAGACAAAAAAAAAAAGACACGTTTCAGAGAATCCCTAAGACAAAAAAAAAAACCACGCTTTCAGAATCCCTGAGACAAAAAAAAAAAAAAAAAAATCAGAACCCCTGCAGATTTTCGAAAAAAAAAAACACGGTTTCGTAATCCCTGGAGCAAAAAAAAAAAAAAAAAAAAAAAAAAAAAAGTTTTCTGAATCCCTGAGACAAAAAAAAAAAAAAAAGGGAAAAAGAAAAAAAAAAAAACCGTTGCGGAATCCCTGAGGCTTTTCGAAAAAAAGGGAAGTCTCTCGGAAGTGTGGAAGCCTCGAAGCCTGGCGAACCAATCATGGAAGCCTTCAGAGCCGAGAGTTTGGTTCGTGTGAGGGGAGGGGGTGAAGGGGGGGAGGGGGAGGGAGGGGTTTGCGATGCAGGGGTGTGATTCGGAGGTTCTTCGGATGGCGGGGGGGGGGGGGAAAGGGAAAGAGAGAGGGTAAGAGGGTGTGGAAGAGAGGAAAGGAGAGAGGAGAGGAGAGGGAAAAGGGCGAGAGGGGAGAAAGAGAGGAATTCGAGAGAAAGGGGGAGAAGAGGAAGAGAGAGAAGAGAGAGGGGATGAAAGAGAGGAAGGAGAAAGGCGCGTAGGCAAGCGAGAAAGCATTAGATGGGAGTTAAAGATATAGAGAGGAAGGGGAGAAAGTTGAAGAGAAAGAAAGGAAGGGGAAGAGGCGGATGAGAATGAGAAAGAGGGAGAAAGATGAGGCAGGGAAAGGAGGACATTAGAATGAAAGAGAGAGGAGAGAGGGAGTGAAGAAGAGATAAAGGAGAGAGGATGAGGGAGTGAAAGAAGAGAGAAAGAGAAAGAGAGGAATCACTCTGCGTAAATAGAACGAGATAAGAATGAGTAAACTCACCATCGGGCTAGAATGACAGGTTAACCCCCACCCCCACCCCACACCACGAAACCCCTCCTTTCGGATTATTCTCACTACAAGAAACTTTACCTTAGGAATACACCCCCCCCCTTTGCCCACCCCATCTCCCTGACTTCTTCTCGATTTTACCAAGATTAGAGGGAGAACAGTCTATTGCGGATAACTTTTACCTTCTCCACTCCTACCCCCGGCTTTTTTTTCCAACCCCCCCCCCCTCCATCTTTCTCATCCAGTTGTTATTATTCAGCTTAACAACTAACTAACACCCCTCTCCACCTCAGCTTCTCTCTCTCTCTCTCTTTCTTCTCTTTTCTCTTCTCTCCTTTCTCTCCTTCTCTCCCTCTCTCTCTCCTCTCTCTCCTCTCTCTCTCTTCTCTCTCCATCTCTCATCTCTCTCTCTTCTACCTCTCTCTCTCATCGCTCGCCTCTCTTTCTCTCTCTCTCTCTCCTCTCTCTTCTTCTTCTCGTCTTGTCTCTCTCTTCAATCATCTCACCTCTTCGTTCTCCCCCTCCTCTCACTCTCCTCCCTCCCGTCACTCCTCCCTCGGCTCACTCTCCCTTCCCTCCCTCTCCTCTCCTACCCCTTCCTCCCTCTCACCTCTCTCCGCTCCCTCTTCGACGTCCCCCCTCCCTCTCTTCTCTCTCTCTCATCTCTCTCTTCTCATCTCCATCACATCTCATCCGTCTATTCTCATCTCCTCGTCTCCTCCTCTATCTCTCTCGTCTCTCTCCTCATCATCCATCATAGATGTCTGGAGTCTCTCTCCTCCCGTTCCATCTCTCTCTCGTCCCTTCCTCGTCGTCCTCATCTGTAACATAACCCATAGCAACATCATCTTCCACACCACCCGAATAGCCTGCAAGCGTCCCGGAAATCTTAGGTCGGAGAAGTAACCAATGATGCGTATCGAAATGCCCCTCTCTCTATCTCTCTCCCCCCCATTCACCCACCAGCCGCCGCCACGTCGCCCACCTTGGACCGGTTGTCCTCGCTTCTCGTTCTCCCCCCACTTTATCTCCTCTGCCACCTACTCATGGAAACTTAGTCACCACCCCCCTCATCAATGAGCTATGCGTGTCCCTTTCGCCAGATACGGCACACGGGCTCCCGGACCGTGATGATCCGGCCAGAACCCCCGAGCCTCGGAGATGCGTGCTTCCCGAAGAACCGAGGATTATCCCACGCCACCGGAGGAGCGAGGATCGAGGTCACGCCCTCCAGGAACCAGCTGACCACCTCCACCACCGTTGCCACCACCTCCTCCACCGTCGCGACACCCAAGCTGCCCCGCGCCGTTGCCAGGGCCTGGACGTCGGTATCTGTTCCATCCTGCACCACAATGTCACCTCTTATCCTAACCTCCTGGGCCACGTGGATAGTTCGGCGGTGGAGAAGGATATTATCGCTCTAAGGTAGGATTTTTTTTTTTTTAATACTTTTTTATTATTATTGTTTTTTTTTCTACTTTTTTTTGGACCCCCCTCTCCTCCTCTCTCTTCTCTCCTTCTCTCCTCTCTCTCTCTTCTCTCCATCTCTCTCTCTCTCTCTCTCTCTCTCTCTCTCCCTCTCTTTCTTCTCTTTCTCTTCTTCGATGTTTATTTTCTCTCTCTCTCTTTCTTTCTTTTGATTCTTCTTTTACTTTTTCGTTTTTTTTTTTATTATTTCACTTGTCTTTCTTATTGTCACCATCATCATCATTCGCCTTATTATTATCATTCTTATTATTATTATCATTATTATTATTATTATTATTATTATTATTATTATTATTATTATTATTATTATCATTATTATTATCATTATTATTCCTCCTCCTCTTCATCATAATGATCTTTTTCAGCTGATCTTACCTTTTGATGTCTTTTCTCACTTCATTCGTTCCTCCGATCGTAATTTTGTCTAATTTTGCCTTTTAAGATGTTCTTTCTTTATTGAAAAGGTATGAAGAAGAATGAATAAAAACATAGTGCAATATATAAGCAATTGACGTGTTGCAGCATCATTTTTAGTTGCAACATTGAAAGGCTTCAGTTTCGTTTCCATCAATCTCAATCATGCCTCTTTTTTGTATAGTTGTTGGTTGAATGACATCATTATGAATATAGGTAGATAGATAGATTGATAGATTGATAGATAGATTGATTGATTGACAGATAGATAGATTGATAGATAAATGGATTGATTGATGTAGATATTGATAGATAGATGGATTGATCGATAGATAGATTGACAGATAGATAGATTGACTGATAGATAGATTGATTGATAGAGAGATTGATAGATAGAGAGAGAGAGAGATTGATATATTGATAGATAGATTGAGGGATAGATAGATTGAGAGATAGATAGATAGAGATTAGAGAAGATAGATAGATTGAGGGATAGATAGATTGAGAGATAGATAGATTGAGATATAGATAGATTGAGATAGATTGTATAGATAGATTGATAGATAGATAGATATGTTGATAGATAGATAGATAGGTTGATAGATTGATTGGTTTATAGATAGATAGATGGATAGATGTTTAATCAGATTCTATTTCCTATCCATCTCAATCATGTCTCTCTTCGTGTCTGTTTTTTCCTGTTGTTGTTGAATATAGATAGATAGATAGATAGATAGATAGATATTTAATCAGATTCTATTTCCTATCATTAAGTTATTTCAAAGTATTGGGAGTTACATTACAAATATTACTTAAACTAGTGCAAGGAAACGTAAGTGCAAAGAGCAGACAGTTAAAAAGAAACGCACAAAAAGAAAATTAAAAAAAGTAAAAGACAAAAAGATATGATAAAGAATACAACTGAAAAACAAAAATGTATATAATAAAACAATATAGAAAAGCTATATCAAAAAAATATATGACAAAAAAATGTAACAAAAAAGATATAACAAAAAATATATAACAAAAAGTTATAAGAAAAATATATACCAAAAAGGTATAACAAAAATATATAACAAAAAGCTATAACAAAAATATATAACAAAAAGCTATAACAAAAATATAACAAAAAGCTATAACAAAAATATATATAAAGAAAAAAATATAACAAAAAGATAAATCAAAAACATAGCAAAATAGATATATCAAAGAAAAATAAAAATAGATATAACAAAAAGAAACAAGAATAACCCAAACCCTTGCCCCGCAGAGAGGTGATCGACGCCGAGTGCACCCGCTCGCCCACACGAGTTCCTGTGCGAGCTCCTCCAGCCGGACTGCCGCCGCGCCCAGGTCATGTCCCCGAGCGGCGTGTTCGAGGACGAGCTCCTGAAGCCCTGCCGCGACTTCTGCGAGGAGGTCCTGAGCACCTGCGGCCGCCGCCTGCCGCCCCACCTGCGGCTGGCCATCGACTGCGCCAGCTTCCCGTCGCTGGTCAACGGGGACGAGTGCACCGCCAAGCCAG